CCCGCTGAGCAGGGAGCCTGATGCGGGACTTGATCCAGGACCCTGAGATCATGACCTGAGCCGAAGGCAGACACTTAACCAGCTGAGCCAGCCAGGCGCCCTTCCTCTCTTTCTTCTTGTAAGAACACTAGTCGTTGGACTTAACGCCCACCCCAAATCCAGGATGATTTCGTCCTGAGACCTTTAACTTAATTATATCTACAAAGACCCTTTTTCCAAATAACAGCACATTCAGAGGTTCCCAGGGTTAGGACAGGGACATATCTTTTGGGGAACACGGTTTCCACTCCAGGAAAAGAAGAAAAAGGTCCAGTGCCTGTGGAGGCCCCACACTTTAATTGAAGGGCACAAATTCAATGTTCCACGGATGCTTCTCTGTGGCCCGTGTTCCAAGGGAGCCACCTAACCCATGGCAGAGGCCTTCTGTCTCTGGCCAGGCCAGTGACCGGGTCAGATACTTCCATCATTCTAAGAGGCAAGATGGATGTGGGAGAGATCGAACAATAGAGGGGAAAGACATCAGAGCTGACAGGGACCCCGCCGGGTACAAGGTAAAGTCCTCATGCCACCAGGGACTTTGACCGACACCTGATCATGGGACCCATCACACAGTGTCCACACTCATTAAATCAGGTGAACCTCTCAACAACCCTGTCAGGTGACCACTTGCCCCAGTGAGAAGCTACGTGCAAAATCACTCAGACTGCGAAGGTCCTGCCAACACTCACTGACTTCAGTATCAAAACTGACCTGGGTCTGATCCCTGGGGCGAAGCAGCTTAGAAATAAATCTACGCCACGGAGTTAACAGAACTCCTCCCAGGCTGGCCTTTTGCCAGAGGTTTTGAATGAAGTTGATCTCTCCTGGTATGGAAGGGGTGAGATTCTATGCCAATGCATGGACGTTGGTACAGAGGTTGGGGGAGGGTGGTAGCCACAGGTATTTGGGGCAAATCTGCCCTCTGAAGCCTTAGACTCTCGTGGTCACTGGCAAACATAAAGCCTGATTTATTTCAGGAGGGGACCATCGTGACAGTATGAGTCTGTATGAAGTCCAAGCACATCCAAGGGTCTTCACAAACTCTTAGAATGCACAAGCGATCAGGCCAAAGTCTCTGAGGCCTATGAAAGGCCGGAGTGGTCCAAGAAGGCTGCCTGGAGGAAGGGGCATGTGGAGGATTTGGTTACCAGGAGGGGCATGAGTTTGAGCCTCACTTCATGCGGAAACCAACATGCTGCCACATCCAGAAAGAGCAGCTACACTCCCGCAAGTAGACAGAGCCAGATATAAATGGAAAGTTCCAGGGCCGGAGACTTCTGCTCTTCCACTCTTCTCTTCACGACTGCGTGATCTTAGGAAAGCGGCTTGATGACTTTGATCCAGTTCCTCCTCTGTAAAATGGGAAGAACAGACACCACCCTGCCCGCATCCCATGGTTGCCATGGACACAAAGAATTAAGAACCATGAAGGATGTTCTGTAAGATGCCGCCTGCGTGCCTGGGACAGTTCCCATGGGGTAGGATCGGTGCCTGGAGGGGGGACTTGGAGCATTGGGGAGGTGGTGGAGATGAGGCAGCCTTGACGTGTCAGCTGCCCAAAAATTGCAGCATCTGGAAAATTCACTTTGATGAACTCAGCTACCCGCCACAAATCACTGTATTTTAAAATCCCTTCCAAAACAAAACAAAAAACCCCTTCTCTGCAGAAGGCTCCAAGTGAGATGTTTTTCTCTCCTCTGATAGAAGATGGAGAGGATGCTGAGCAGATGCTGACGGGACACGGCCCCCGCGGGGCCACAAAGGCCCGTGGCCAGCAGTGGCCATGAATCATTCGCATGTCAGTGTGACCCTGGCCATCTCTTTGGCTATCTTCCGACATCTGGGAGGGCAGGGACCCCCTATTCTGCCAGTTGGTTTTTTAAAAATAGTGACCTGAGCACTGCACGCGGCCGACTAGATACCCCCCAGGCTGCTCCCCTCATGGCCCTCCAACCTCTGCCCTCCAAGCCAAAGCCTCCCTCGGTGGGTTCGCCTCCACCCTGCCCTCCCACCTCTGCGCCTTCGCTCAAGCTGCTCCCTCTTCCTCAAAGCTCTCTCCCTCTTCCTCCACCCATCACCATGTGCCTCAAAGCATGTGGCTCCCATGATCCACTCTCAGAAGCTTCTAGGGCCCCGCCTCTGCCCAACCGCAGCATGTCATGGGCCCCAGTCCTCCCCCGCACCGAGCATTTAGTACTGGATGAGGCACATGGCTGGAGGGGCGCTGCTGTTCATGTTTGCAGCCCAAACGCTGCAGGGGCCTGCCGGGCACTCAGCAGGGGTGTGGCAAGTGTTGGAGGAATGCAGGGAGTGTCGGCCTCCTCGCTGATCTGATGAGGTGGTCTCCTTGCTGCCACCATACTTGCCTGTCTTGGTGCTTCGGCTCCACCTGGCCAAATCCTAACCCCCCCGCAACTCCCGCTTCCTTCAGGAAGCCTTCTGGGGTTGCGGTTGTCTTCTCTCTTGATCTCCAAGTCAAAGCCACATAATTTAGCACTTCCTGACATCCTGTTTTCCATTGTTCTAAAATTGTTTCTTGCACATCACTGAGAAAGCAGCAACCCGGCATCAGGCACCATATTGTGTTCTGCCAGACCCACCTTATATCCTACCCTCTGGCCCCCAGCCCCACCACAGGGGCCTAACGCTGCACTAAAAGCAGAGAAGGAAATGAAGCATTGGGCAAACAGGTATAAATCCTCACTCCACCCCTTACTAGCCACAGTTTCCGTTTTTGGTTTAAACTCTCAACTTTAGACCAGGGGTCAGCAAAGTTATTCTGTGGAAGACCAAACAGCAGGTATTTTCAGCTTTTGTGGGCCCTACAGCTTCTACTGCAACTACTCAGCTCTGCCTTTCCAGGGGAAAGCAACCACAGACAAGACAGAAATGAACCAGGCACAGCTGTGTTCCAATAAAACTTTATTGACAAAACAGGAAGTGGGCCACATTGGCCTATGGGCTGCAGTCTGCCCGTCCCTGCTCTGGAGGATTACTTGAGGTAACATTTAACCCCCTCACCACACAGACCTCAGACCATGCTGCAAAATATCCCAACTCCTGCCCCAGCCCCTAACACTCTTTTCTCCTGGTTTTCGTCTTGGTACTTAGCACTGTCTGCAATTACGGCCTTTTTGGTGAGTGACTATCTCCTCCAATAGAACACAAACTCTAAGGTTCTCTCTCCAGCACCTGAAACAGTACCGAGCAGAGACTGGGCACCCTTTTAGTATCTGTGGGCTGAATGGAGGCCATCATTATTACTACCATTTCATTGAAGGTCTTGATATATTTCCGTAATTAACCACAGGCATTTGCAAAGCCCCAGGTAATTTTCATGTGTTGCCGGAAATGATAAGCCTCCCATTTTGGAAATGAGGGGGCTGAAGCATAAAGACGACATTTCCTGCTGGTGACCAGGCAGAGATTCAAACCCAGACTCCTGGCGGGTCCTTATTAAGGAAGTCCGGCAGGGCACAAAGAGAAGTGCACTTAGAGTCTAAGATCCAACCTTACTTGAACAGACATGTCATCTCACCTTCTGCTAATAGGGCAGATAGGATGGATTCATCACAGATGACAGCCATCAGAACAGTGCAGGCCGGACACAGGAAAAAACCTGTGTAAGTAACCACAATTATGTAACCAGATGACCGTCGCCACCTCCACCCTGCCTCCTAAGGCTTAGAAGGGATTAGATAAGGACATGGCCAGGAAAAGGATTATGAAACTTGCCAATCCCCAAACTAACATAAGATCCATTTTTTTTTTTTTTTAACAACACCCGCTGGAAGTTGCAAAAAAAAACCCTTCTTTAAAAAAAAAAAAAAGAAGAAGAAACTACACATCTTCTATAAATTCAAAACTAAACCATAAAGACCTACAATCTTTTGAGAGTTTTAATGACAGTCCAGAAAAGGGTTAAGTTTTCAGCTGCTCACATTCCTATCGGAGACCAGTTAGGACACAGGCCCAAAATGAAACAAAACCAAGGGGGTTTCACCACGCTGAGGACAAAGGGACGGGGGTCTCCATTTTCACTCACATGCCTTGGGAGTCCGAGAGCAAAAGCAGACACGGATCAGAAGAAACAGAATGGAACCCCAAAGCAGAGGAAGCATCCCCACTCACTCCTGGCGTCCTGCACCAGCCCAGGGGGGGACCCCCTCTTTGAAGGTTCTGAGCATGGCAGGAATCACGCAGGCTGGGGTGATGTTTAGGACAGTGGGGGACATCCACCAGCACACACAACTTTCCATCCCTGCCCACTTCAGTAGAAAGCGATTCACTCAGTTTCGGATTTAAATATTTATTCCTCAAATACAAAACAATGTCGAACATGCGCATCCCCTGATGTCCCAGGCATCTGGCCCCAGAGTCGGAACATCTTCAGATGAAACAACCAGCTGGGATTCCGACTTCACAGAGTTCTGAGTCTCCCTCGAAGAGGGGGGACTTTCCAACGCTTTGGGCCTCCCTATTTCTCAGAGAAGGGCAGTTTTCTTTTCCTGGTCCCATAGTTGGCACTTTTGAGGATTTTCAAAGGAGGATTAGCCATATTCCACCTGGAAAGAAGTGTCTCTAGGCCTTTGCTGGCGATGTCAATAATTTGCTTGGGACACGATTAAAGTGGACACAGTCACGGTGAGGCCGCTGGTGGCGAGTCAGACGGCGGTGGCCCCCGAGGCTGGCCCGCATGCAGGTACCCGGCCGGCGCAGGCCAGCCCCAGCCACAAGCCCACCCTCTCTGGAGGGACGGCCTTGCCAGGAGGTCAGTTCTCCAGCAGCCCTGTGGCCACGTGCGGGGCGGCCACCTGGGACACTGCACCTGGGGTAACACCATCTTTCTCACTGCAGGCTGCTGGACATCACGGGTTTGCTTTCCTTTGAAAAATTCTTACTTTTAAGATATTTCTGTCTCCGCCCCATCCGCCCTCCCCGCCCCCCCCCCCCCACCAACAACAAAAATTTTTTTTTAAACAAGTTACCATGTGTTAGTTCTGAGCACTGGGAGCATGGCAATAGCCAGGAAAGAAGCTCAGCCTCGCTCAGCCCGACAAAGAGAATCTGTCTCCTTAACCTGCTGTTGCTGGCATTTTCTGTGGTCGGGAGCCTCCCTGATGCAACAGGGTGGGAGCATTTCCAGGGCTCGGCATTCTACGACTGGCAGATCAGGAAGGAAAGGCTATGGACACTTTTGAACTCTGTCCATCACAGCTAAAATTATCTCACTAATGATAGCTTCTATAAAATCAGCTCAGGTTAAGGGAGGGCGGGCAAATGCTCAGCGAGACTGAAGCCGGTCGCTTGCTTCTGGTCGGCGGACTCCAGAGGACCTCGGAATTAGGAAAACAGAAGGTACAGTGGAACAAATCCCAGGGGAGAGAGGAGGGTTTGGGAGAGGGCTTCTTAAGATCTCTCTTCACTGATGCTTCCCAGGGCTGGACACCTGAGAACAAATGACGGCCACTAGAATCCAAAAATTACAGACCCACTTAAAAATACCGTAACATGCTGTAATTCATCCTGTTTGTCCCGTGGGTCATTTGGACTGCAAAAGACTGCCTTTCCGCACCCCACCCCCAGATTTAAAACCAAGCCAGAGGTCTTCTGCGTTGCTACATGGCTCCAGGGATAGGCATCAGGGACACACCATGTCTCCCCAACAAGCGCAAAGCCCCTGCAACCCAAAGACCCAGCTGGCTCCATCTCTTCTAGAACTTTCAAGGAGCTCTGCACTGGCTGCCGCATTTTGTTTTCATTTTACTTTTGAGAAAAACTCCAAGGTCATTTCATAAAACTTGGAATCCAAACCCACACCAAATTCTCTCCTTTGCTCTTCATCCCCTCGTCCTAAACCTCTTAGGGAGAATACAACCTATTACGCCTTATCAGATGCTTCCTTGGCTTAAATCCATGGTGGTCACATTTAATGTCATTACAGTCTGTGTCCTGTGGTCATGCATAAACTGCTACACCAGCAACAATTAAAAACAAGGGGCATTCCTCAATTCCTAATTCCAACCTACGTATGCAGGGCATTATCCAGCCAATTTGAGGGTGCTTTTCAAAGCACATAATAATAAATGTGTCAGACACTCTGCCGGGTTCTTGAGATTATTCTTCTAATCCTCAACCAGAGCCCACTGTGCAGATGAGGAAGGAACCTCTTCCGGGTCACTTGATGAGCACGTGGCCCCATCCAGATGCATGCTGGTACCAGCCACCCAGCCATCTACTTGCCACACCACCATCGCCCTGCCCTCCCCAGGCTGGAATTCCGTCTTCCTGAAGGTGGAGGTTTGCATTTGCAGTTTGCCATGAACAAGGTAAAGTGAATTTGTGGGACCCGACCGGGGACCTCTGGGTGGGAGTCTTGGTGCCTGAACAATTTTACTTGAGTCACTTAAAACCCCATATGAGTCACAAAGAGCACCCTGTGACCCCCTACCTCCCAGCCTCCGGCTGCCCGACCCCCCCGCTCCCCACACATACACACACAAAGAAATGAAAGAGGAATCTACCAGCTTCGATCTCACACATACCCATTAAAATACCGTCCTTCATACGAGGCTTAAGACATGAGCTCAAGTTCAAAAGTCTGTAAAAGGGAACTTGATTCAAGAACTGTCATTGAAACATACACCCCAGGAGTGTGGTTTAGAAAGCAATTGTTTGCAGGCCCGTGGCCCACCTCACACACGCACAGCTCACCGCAACAATGGTGAGAACATACCCGCTACGCAGCAATATCCAGAACCCGAGAATCCCGGCTCTTCCCCCACACCCTCCATTCTCCGTCCTTGTCAGCTGCCTGCAGCCAGGGCCCTCCTTGGCCCAGGTGACCTGTGGCAGCTGGAAGCCATTACCTCATACCTTGCTACCACCCCAAGACGCGTGTGGGAGAGTCTGCTCAGGTCTGGGGTTTCCAAGACCTGCTGTGCCATTTACTATGCATTCCGGGCAAGGCAGTTTAGTCTGAGTCTCTACTTCCCATCTGCAAAATGGGCTGCCATTCTCCCCTCCAGAGGGCCAGAGATGTACGTGGAAGGGCTTTGTGGTGGAAAGCGCTAAGACTCCTGTGAGGGGCTCTAATTGTCCTTATTCTTCTTTGCCAGAATCTTTCTGGCACTTTTGGGCACATTAATTCCTATGTCCCCCAGGGGCAAGAGCATTCACTCCTGCGATCAAGTGTCGGGGAACTTTATACACAGCTGCATCACCACCGGGAAGAACGCTCTCAGTTCCATGAGGCAGCCTGATTTATGGAAATTTTAAGAGCCTTGTGTCCCTTGAAGATGACAATTCTCGTTTTGGCCCCTTGTGTTAACTTTGTGCCTCAGTTTGCTCGACTGTCCAATGGGGAGAACACCTTCATTTGGGGGGCAAGGTGTTGTATGGGGCTACAGGCCTTCCAGGCAGTCGCTTGCCTTATGCCTTGACCCTTTCAATATGCATACACACCACTTTCCAACGCTGAGATCCAAATTCTCAAAGACAATGACAAAGCCTGAAGACAGCTCTTAAAGGCCAAATGCCTTCTGCTCCATGACACTATCTGTCCCTCCCTGACTCCAGTGGCCAGGCTAAGACAAAAGTCTGAGCCCCACAGCTGACTGCAGAATGCAAAAGGTGGGTTAACTATATATAATTAGACCATCCCGACATTTCCCTCTTCGTTCCAGATGTTTATTATGTTTGTTTCCAGTGAGCTGGGCCTAGGCTCATGCACCGTGGGAAGGACAGGGAAGGACCTTCATCTTGCCAGCTTGCATCTGCCTGGGGCCAAGCTGGGAGGAGACCCCTGGCTCTTCCCCCTCCCCCCCTTGCATACCCCATTTGTCCTGCCTTTTCACCAGGTGCTCCTGGGGGAAGAATGTCTGAGAACCGTACTCCTCCTCCTGCAATCCCGCTCCCCCTGCCACCTGATTGGACACCTCTCCAGATCAGACAAATGCAGATCATTTTTTAAAATAGAAGATCCCTGTTTATAGGGAGTCCAAGGGCAAGTCATGGACAGAGAGACACAGGAGTTTATAACAGAGTTCTGGGACATCAGATGTCTCAGGGTGGAATGATGCTGCCCACTTATGTCCTATGTTAGAATGTTCTAGACTGGAGGGAGGATAGAAGTCAGAGCTCTTCCTGGCCGCCCACTGAAGGCTCACCCCTCTCCAGTGGGACAGAGGACAGCACCTAGGAACAGCAATGGAGGAAGGGGGGCGTAAGGCAGGCAAGGCTTTCTCACCATGGAAGTTTGAGGTCTAAGGAAGAGATGTAATAGCCATTGCAAGATTCATTAGAAATTAGTGTAACGGCCTCAAACTATTTCTCACCAGAACTGGTATTAGTGGGAACATTCCCAATTATGGTATAAGACTTACTTGGGCAAAGATGCCCAAAGATGATTATTTTCTAAAGCTGAACGCTCTTAAAAGATTTAACTTTTCTGAAACCTTAATTTTCTCAGCTGTAAAAATGGCGGCAACTCCCCCATTTCAGAGTTTCTTGAAAGGTAAAATGAGAATGGACATAAACTCGAAGTGCTGGGTCTGATACAATGTAAATCGTAATAGTATTTTAAAAAAATATATGTAGCCATGTTGAAGGATTTCCCCCATACCAGCTGCTATTCTATATGAGTTCCGTGCCTTTCCTGTCCATGCCAGCCCTGGGAAGGAGGTATTACGGTTGTGCCCATTTTACAGTCCCAGAAGGTGCAAAGCCAATGGGTTCAGAAATTTGCTCAAGGTCACGCATGAGCCAAGGTGACCTTGACCCTCTAGGCACCTGGCCTCCAAACAGCTGTCTCCTGCTTCCATCTGGGGGATACTCCTTATTAAAAAGGTGGTAACTGGGAGTCACTCCATATTTCTTAAGTGTCCCTTTACCCACTCCAGGAGTCGCTTTTACCTTTTAAACATGAAAACGCTGTGGGGGGAAAAAAATACCGCCTCTCGTAAAAAGCTCTCCTTTCTGCATGTGCTGTGTTCCACAGGCGGGATGCACAGACCTCCCCTGGAGGGTCCTTACACCAAAAGGTAGAGCAGCTCATTGCTCCCTGGGGAGCACACACATCCGCCACCCCGGGCAGCTCTCTGAGCCTTAGCTTCCTTATCTATAAAATGGATTTATTTTAAAATCAATAAAGTTGAAGCATTAAAAACCATTCCTGTTGGCCTTTGGTCTCCACCCACCCCAACCCCTGGCCAGTGGTCCAGGAAACCATACAATATGCATGCCCTTGTCTTCATCCCTGTCCCAAGCGCTCAGCTCAGTCGTTACCAGCACTGGGAAGCTTCTCAAGCTTCTGATGAGCCAACCAGCTGCGCTCCAGCCGTTTGCCTCCTCCCGCCCCATCTAGTGCACAGGGGAGATGGGGGGGTGGGGGTGGGTAGAAAGCCAAGGGCATCAGCACTCCCACCTCAAGGTGCCTCGGAGGCCACCCGACGCTCTAATACCCGATTGGCCGACAGAACTCAGGGCGCAGATCTGGCCACCCCAAATGTCTGGGCTAAAGCACCATGGGCCCAGCGCCGCTGGAGATCCCTAGTGGGCCCCCCGCCGCAGCTTAAGAGCCTCCAGGCAGGACAGGCGCTGCTCCCAGCAGGGTTGAGGAACAGTAGGGCAGCCCAGAGCAGCCACGAAAGATCCAAAAAAGTATTGGGAGAGAGGCATGCCCACCACCTAATTCCCCCCTAGGAGTCCCAGCCTTAGATCTGGGGATTTCGTGGGAACAGGGATGGCTGAGCCAGTTCTGGAGAAGCTCCCAAGATCGCCCAGCTCCATGGTGGATCCTGCTTTTCCGCTACTGCTTCCCAGCCGCGGGCAAGGAGGAAAAAAGTCCTGGTTCTCCCCAGGGCAAGGGGGAACAGGAACCCCATGCTGTCCCCTCTCTTGGGCAATGCTACCCACCCCCGGCAGCCCGGCAAAGCCCCTCTCCCTGCAGCCCTGGAGACGAAGTGGATTTTAAAGCAGGACACCCGTCCTGTGACGATTCATGCCCAGAGTTTCTTTTCCTCTTCCTTTTTTCCGGGACAGATCAGAGCTGCCCGATTTTTCTTTCGAAGCTACAAGCCTAAGTAGATTTCTTTATGGGGCCTCAGATGGGGGTGGGGGAGGTTGGTAGGAAATACAGAATGTGGCCCGTCTACATCGCCATCACTTTATTGTATTGTCACCGTTAACTTAACTATAAATACTACGGCGGGGAGCGAGGCGCCGGCCGCCTCGCACTTCGGGGCTGCGAGCCCCGGCGCGACCCCGACCCCAGGCGCCGGCCCTCCCGGCTCTGTACACTATTTACAGCTCCTCGTTCCTCTTTCTCGACCCCCTCCCGCAAGGCAGCGCGTGTGCAAGAAAGTAGCATCGTCTGTCTGTGCAAGTCCTTCGAGTTAGGCAAGAGCCACAGCCGGCCCGCGGCCGTCAGCTGTCCGAGTCCAAATCGCTTTTACCTTCCTCTTCCCTCTTCTCGGGCGACGCCTTGGACGACGTCTTGTTCCACTTCTCGGCGTTTTCCGACTCCTCCGACGAGGACCGCTTCTGCCGCCTCCATTTGGCACGGCGGTTTTTAAACCAGACCTGTTGCGCAACGGAGGACAGAACAACAGTTAAGATCAAAGGCGCGCTCCCCCCACCCCGGCGGCCCCGGCACCCCCGGCACCCCAGGGGAGCCCTCGGCGGCCGCGGGTGACGCCGGCGTGGGCTCGGAAGCCGGGGACCCCGCACGCACGCCCACAAAAGGACGGGAGACTCGGGCCCGCTTCCGCATTTCCCTGCAACTTCCTGGGCCTAAGGCGCCCTCCGGCAGCCTCCGGGCCGCCGCAGGATGTCGGTCAAGTTCAGGGAGCCCCGAGCCGAGCCCGGCTGCAGAGCCGAGCTAACCCGGCGGGGGCCCGATCTCGCCGGCAAGGCCCGGCAGGCGCGCCCACCTCCACTTTCTCCTCGCGGAGGTGCACCTTCCGGGCCAGCTGCTCGCGGGTGCCCACGTCTGGGTACTTGGTCTCCTGGAAGAGGTTCTCCAGCGCTTCCAGCTGCTCGTCGGTGAAGATGGTGCGGTGCCGCCGCTTCCGCCGGCAGTGCAGCTGGTTGAGGAGCTGCAGCTCGGTGCGCGACAGCGTGCCCACGTTCATGTAGGGCAGCATCTGGTGCGGGACCGGGGACACCAGCACCGAGCCGGGGCCCTCGTAGCCTGCGACAGAGGACGCACGGTCGGCCGGCTCCCCTGCCACTGCGCACACCGCCCGCCCGCGCGCCGCGACCCGCTCCCCCTAGAAAATCCTTTGCAACGGGGCGCTGCGAATGGGGGGCGCGCGGAAATCGGAAATGCAGGGCAATGGGGGAAGCGTGCTAGAGCGTCCACCCGCACACTCTCAGGGCCAGTCAGAGGATCCCAAAAGCCTCGTCTCCCCACGCAGCCACTAAGTTCCAGTTTCCTCTAACTCTCGCCTTAAGTTTGCAGCAAGTGTACAAAACCCCCGTGCCGGATCGACCAAGAAAAAAGAGGCGTGGGGGGAGAGGGGGGAGAAGGTTCGTGTGTGCAAGGAGAAAAGTTAGTGCAAAAAAATGGAAAAAGCCAGCGCCGGCTCCAGGGACCGAGGACCGCGGCAAGAAGGCCGGCGCGGGCGCGACCCTACCTGGGGGCGTCGGGACGCAGGAGCACTGCTGGGCGCCCAGCGGCGGCACGGCCCCGCAGCAGGCCGGGCCCACGGGCGCCGCCTGCACGTGCAGCTGCCCGTAGAAGTAGCTGTTGTAGCCGAGGCGGGAGCCGCCGACCGCGGCCGGGAGGCCCGCGCCGCCGGGGGCCACGGGGCGCGGATAGAAGGCGCCATAGTCCGAGGAGGCGCCGCCGCCGCCGCCGCCGTAGAGCGAGTCCCCGTGCAGGGCCGGGAAGACGACGGGAGCCGCGGCGCTGGGCGCCACGGGCAGCACCGAGTCTTTGCAGCGCGGCCGGGCGGCCAGGATGTTGTCGATGCTGAACATGCTGGCGGGCATCCCCGAGCCCCGCGCCGGGACCGGGGGGCGGCGGGGAGGCGCCGGGGAAAAAGCCTCAAAAGTTGGGGGGGGTCCACTCTCCTCCAGCGGCCGACCAAACCGAAAGAGAGCGCGGGCCAGCGCGCAGCCCCGCGCCCCTCCCCGCCCCCTGCGTCCGCTCTCCCTCCTCCCGCCCTCCCCTCGCAGCGGCGTTCGCCGAACTCAACCCGCGGGTAGGACGGAGTTTAGACCAGCTGAACCTCTTGTTGGTTTTATACTGAGTCGACGTCATCCTGGATTTAGTTCCTGGTAATATGCAGATGACAAACAGAACCAGATTTGGCCCTTTCTGCTCCTTTGGGTGGGGGGGCTTTAGGGAAGGGGGAGGGGAGAGGTGCCAAGGGGAGGGGGTTGCGGGGGCCAGAAAAGGGATTGTGGATTGCAAATTAATGAAATTAACCTAATCTTTCCCATTCAGCGGCCCCGCCGCGGGCCGGCCGAGCTGGGCGGGCGTCCTAATTGCTCCGGTTAATCTCATTAATTCCATTGTGCGGCGCAGTTAACAACTCCCTCCGCCCGACCTCTCCGCCCCCACCCTTTTTTCTCAGATTGGGTTCTATTATTGGGTGCGATTTCCTCTGCGAGAAACTCCCAATTCATTGTGGCCAGTTTTACTTTGGGGCTACTTTTTGCCCCATTTCGGAACTTGTTTTGTCTTAGAGAATGCGAGGGGCTGCGTCCTCTCTCAAGCAAGATTAAAAACTCCGCTCTTCTTCCGGACCCCCAAGACCTCACCGTCAAATTTCACCTCTATTTTTTTTTTTAATTTCGAGGTTCTCTCCCGAGTGGAACAGAGTAATCCCACCCCCAACCCTTTTGTTTTTGCAAAGGCCAAAATTTGTAAAGGCGAAATGGACGAAAGAGGTGCGTTATGGTTCTTAAAATATGTGTCTATTTTTTCGCAGTCACTTTGGGTCTGACAACTACCATAGGAATCCGTAGGCCCTTACACAGCAGAGACCAAATTAAAATTCGCCAGCAAGAGTAGCGCGCACAAGCGATGCTTCCAGCTGCTCCCTGCGTGGGTGTCGGTAGGTTTTATGCTTTATCTTTCGCTTTCTAAAAAATTATTCTTGGAAATGGGGTGTGTTCTCTCCCATCCTATTTTTGCTTTCAATCCAAAATCCAGAAACGGGGCTTTGGGGATTCCCCACCCCTTTTCCCAACAGTTGAGTCGCATTCTCCCCATCCGTCTCGGCAGCCCCCTGACTGGGACAGGCCCCCTAGCTGTCCTTCACCCGACAGGCCCGAGCTGGGCTCCCCAGCCCCGGCGGCCTGGCCGAAGCCGGGCTCTGCTCGCCGCAGGCGGCCGCCGTTGATTCGCGGGATCCTCGGCGCCGCACTGCCGGTCCGCCCGAGCTGCCTGCCGGAGGCGCATCCAGCCCGCGACCGTGCGCAGGCGGCAGAGCGCCCTTCGAGAAGGTAGGCGACGGTGCGCGCGGAACGAAAGCAGCCCCCGAGGTCCTTGCGGGCCCGGCGCAAGCCCCAGCCTTGCAGAGATGTCCTTTCTCGGCCCTTCGCGCAGGCACCTCCAGCCACTCCCGGGGAAGGGGTAGGGCCGAGCCCCGGCGAGACGGCCCGAGGGCCGGGTTGGGGGCAACTCGGGTTTGCCGAAGGAGGGCCGCCTTTAACTCAACGCCCATCTCTCCCTGTTGCTCTCGAGCTAATGAACAGGGATCCCCGCAGGGTTGTCTGATGTCGCTTCAGCAAGGCCTCTCTGTGGGCTGCCTTCTCCCGGGCGGTAGGGCAAAGGGGAAAGGGCACTTGTCAATTGCTGTTCCCAGGTCAGAGGAGTTGTGGCGCGGCGGTTAGGTCCGGCCGGGGCGCAGAACTCGGGCGGTGCGCGGGGGCGGCAGGGGAGAAGCTAGGCGGCGGTGCTTTTCCTAGGCCTCCCTTCGTGGACCTCTGCACCCTCAGGCCCACCCGCTCGGGGCCCAAGAGCCTTGCTTTTTTGAATGCTGAGCAGACTAAAAAGTTGTTGTAGGGGGAGATTAGGACAAGACCGGGATGGGTCTCAGTTTGGGGAGGCAATCGATTTTTTTTTTTTAACACTAGAAACCGCTCCCAGGGGACGGAGTGTGACCGTCCCCTTCAGAGAGGTCAGGTCTAGGGAAAGAAGTGCAGCGCTTTCCCTTTGCTACTAACTAGGAATAGAGGCATTTTTTCCACTCCGGGAGACTTAAAAATCACCGGTTTCCGGGCACACATTTCCCCGCCAACCTTTCCTGGGTCTGATTCTGCAGGGCAACTGATGGAAGACAACTAGGGGCTGCGATTCCTGTAGTGAGTTGGCCGAGTTTGCGTTCGGGGCTGGGCGCTCTGGGCAGCGCGTGTTTGAGCTGAGTCGGGCGGAGGCAGAAAAACCGAGGCCGATTCCTCGTCCATTTCTGTGAAGGTGCTCAGACCAGCAAGGCGCCAAGACGTCAGCCAGATTTCTAAAAAGAGCGCTTTCTAGGTTTTAAATAAGACAGCCTCCGCCACACACATGTCATGCCTCCTTCCACTTGGTACGTTGTTCTTTTTAATAATCAGATTTAGCAAACCCCTAGACTTCGCCCCTTGCTTTTCTGCAGTGCGCTCGCGGTACCATCCGATTCCTGGAAGGAAGAGCACTGTATAGGGAGTCTGAGCGTCAGAGTTCTCAACCCAACATTGCCACCTTACAAATTATCCCTCCCCTCTAGGTCTCGGTTTTTTGTCTTTTTGTTTTTGTTTTGTTTGGGGTTTTTTTTTTTTTTTTTTTAGTTGATGGAACCAACGCCAACACTCATTGGGTCCCTTACAACCGTAAGAATTAATGAGGATAGAGAATTGTCGCCCGTTTGCCAAGGAGACTGGGGGTAGACTTTGGGGCATTTTTCTAGTTCTTTTCATTGGGGCAAAGGAGCTTGCTATCCCCACCCCCTCCCAGGGCAGGGTCTCTATCAGCTAGGTCCAAGATTAGGACAAGGGAGTCTGAAAGCTCTGTCCTCCAGCAGAAGGGACTTTCTGGGAAGAGGACACAGGGACCCAAAAGCCGCTCTGCCCCAGTTATTCAGCCAGTTATTCTCTTTCTCAGGGAGCTCACCCCCTGCGCGGCGGGGGCTCCCCATCCCGGTTGCCCTTCAATCTGCAGGCTGCACTGTGCCCGCGGGGAGGCAGGAGAGGGGGAAGGCAGTCGGCGGTGCGGGAGCCCCGCGCTGAGCATCCTCCGCGGGCCGAAACCCACAAGTGTCCGCCAGGCACTAAACAATCATCTACCTCGCGAAGCCAGGCGCAACTGGAATAACAAATGCAACGCACACAAATTGCCTGCCTCCTGTTCCTAAGCGATTGTTTGTCGGCCCCGCAGGCACCTCTCAGCATGGGAGGACCGCGAGCGTCCGGAGGCGGCCAGCAAGCGCTTAGGTCGGACATGCAGTAAACACGCCGCTGATTTTACTTATTATCACCCAAACACGATTTCACACAAAGCAATCACCATGCCAGAAGTCTAGGAAAATGTGTTTGTTGAGGAGTCAGTCGCCCCGGTAATAGCCCTCATTTTTAATATATTAAAGAATAGATCAGCGGATTCTGAGTGCGTAAGGTATACGTGCGGTTCGGTATCTGTCAAGGGCTTTTTATTCCTCCACAATCATCGCTAAATTAATTCATAGCGCATAGATTAAATTGCTTCTCTGATTTAAAACAGAGTGCCCAAATTTGGAGTGTGCGTCTGGCTATCGCCACCCGCCCCAAGAGATTCTCGTCCAGGAGGAAACTGTCGCCCACGATCCTTCCGCACACGCACGCACCCATGGCTGTAAAAAAAAAAATGCACGTGCGGTCTTAACTTCTTGCGGTTTCGGGAACTTTCTTAATTCAGCCTCTCGGCCGATCACAGCTTATAATCGGATGCCCTTAAGAAGGATTTTTCGTGGCATGGGCAAAAAAGCTGACGTGTCCTTTTCAAAGGTAGGGGACCCCCCTCCCCCAGGGAGAATTAGCTGGGTCGGAGGAATGAGGAACAATGAGCAGACCCGGCTGCAGCCGGTGCACAGCATCGAGACCCCATCCAGCCTTCATAGCGCAAATCGGCTTTTTTTTTTTGGTCTGTAGACGGGCTTTTTAAAAAAAAATCCAGTGCCTCAAAAATGGTGCTCAAACCCCGGTCCGTGGCCCTGCTCCTTGGAGGACACCTCCGGTAGCCCCAGGGGGTTTTCCGTGTCCGGTTGGGTGGGTGGAGTACAGCTCCAGGTGCAGATACCACCCCGCTAAGGGGCAAGCATGCAAGGGCTGGATCTTCTGCAGGCAGTCAAGGGCGATGGAGGGACGCTTACTAGCCGAGTTTTGCTCAAAGTTTTGCAACATTCCAAATAAGCACTCTGAGCCCCCGAGGACGAAATAATCAAGGTGTTAGGAAAACTCAACATAACTCGGGGAGGGGGGGGCGGGTGGGGGGAAGAAGAGGCTGTCAAAAAATGACGTCTTCCCAAAGCATCAGGAAAAAAAAATAGCTCCGGGTTTCCAGGGTTGCAGAAATACACTCTCAGCCGAGCTGTTTACCAAAGTTTCTTTCAAAGTGACTTGCACCGTTGCTTTCGCAAATCACAGAATGCAAATGACGATAATTTGTTCTCAGTGGAACTTTCTCTTGAAATGATTAGCAAAGTCAATCATTTGAAAATTAGAGCGAATGCACAGACGGGTCCCGCAGCCCCTCGCTAACCGATATCAGCTTCTAAAGTTTTCATTCATGTAAACCTCATTAATGAAGATCTTTTATTTAAACGTCAAGGGGATTTGAAATTTAGAGTAAATTATGAAGCTTGTATGTCTAGCCAAGTCATGGGTCAAATGCATTTGTGAAAAACTGCTAAAAGAGCATATGGTTTTGAATTTTTCTACAATGACTAGTGTTTAAATAAATTGCTTGTACTGCTTAACTTCATGTGTAATTTTGACAGAAATTGGCCTATAGCCTTTTGATATGTAAACATTTCAGCCTTTTATGCGGTATAAAAAAGACACTCGCTTTTTAGGATCAGCTCAGGCGGTCACCCTGTAATTCTGAAAGCTGTGGCACCTACCATTACATTCTTGCTAGATTTCAACTTTCCAGTGGCAGCCTCAGGGAGGAAAAAAAAAAGGGAAAGAAAGAAAGAGGATATTTCAAAAGCAGTGTCCATTTGGGATTAAAAGCTACAAATGAGGTGAGAACGTGCCACTTACTATCTGAAAGAAATGGATAAACCATAGTTATTAAAGAACATTTTCTGTCATTTTTCTTTAAGCCAGCCCGTCTGAGGGGACACTTAAGCAGGGC